CCTCGCTCTCAATTCCGGTGATGTCTGAAATTTGCTGGACATCCAAGAGAGCAGCCACGCGGGGTAGCAGGCTCTTTCCGAAGGCAGTGTGGCCTGCAACGATGTGGGTGAATTCGCCCTTCTTAATGTTCTCGACAAGAAGAGGGGCATAGTTTTCGGGAAGGCCCTATTGTACAAGAAATCCAATTGTTAGTTCCTTCTATAGAAATTGATTTCGGGGGATTATGAGATATATACCTTCTCGTATGCGTCATTATCCACGGCCAGCACCTTCTCAACACCCTTGATCTTAGCAGCCTCGGCGGCCGAGGTACCCTTGACACCGGAGCCAGCAATGAAGCCCGTTACTGAGCCACCGAGCTTCTGTGCGGCCGCAATTGCAGACAAAGACGAAGATTCCAACTTGCCATTGCGCTGCTCGAGAATGGCGAGGGTCGAGAGAAGGCGGGCGAGCGCCGAAGAGGCGGGCTGGCTGAGCTTCCGGGTGGGTTGGAGCTGAGAGCGGGCAGCCCGCAGGACAGAGTGCCTAGCGATCGGAATCATAATGACAACTTGGTGGAATTATTTGGCGATGTTCTTCCAGGCGTGGGGAAAAGAGCAAGATTGAAGCTCGGCGATTCACGGTGATGTGACTTTGGGTGGCTATCGTCGGGATGCCAAGACTGTCTCCCCGAGGTCGGACTCGGTTAATGCGGTGATCATATAGCCTGTTCATTCTTCGAAATGACGCATGCAACGGCGATAGAAAGGACTTGATATATTACTCTATTATGTTGTATCTCGATGCTTTAGTTCGACTACTGTTAAATTGATTTCAATTACAGGCACAATATAGATTGTCGGGACAATAGACACGTGATATTTTGTACGCCAGAAATACCTTTACATGCAGAAAACATTAAGAGCTATAACAATCATGAAGTCGACTTTCTCTTCTTCTTGCCACCAGTCTTCGTTGCGACTGGCTTGCTTGTGTCGCCATCCTCGAGAGCCTGAGCCTTGAGCTTCTGGAGCTTCTCTTTCCGCGCAATCTGGGCTGCAGCCTCCTCCTCATCTTCTGCGGGCTTGGTCTTCTTGGTCTTGTTCTCCTCAAGCAGCTTGCCGTCTTCAGCGGACTTGCGCTTCTTGGAATCCTTGATAGCTTCGGTCTCGGGGGCAGCTTCCAGCACATTGGCATCCTCCACCCACAACTCATCAGCGAGCCAAATGGGCAGGGCCATGGTGTTGGCACCCTTGATGTGAAGAGCCTTGATGTTTCTCCAGCCCTTTGCGACGAACTTCTCGGTCAGACCGTTAACAACTGCGGCAATATTTTCAGACAGCTGCTCGGGTGTGAACTTGGACGAGCCGACCCGGACGGCAGCGGTGGTGGAGGGTGCGAGCTGCACAGAGGCGCAGTTCAGGGTACGCTCGATCTCCTTGGCGACAATGAGAGGAGAGGCGAAAGAGGCGTGCTTCTCTTCCTTGGCGGTAGAGTTGGGCACCTTGGCATCCTTCTTGACCCGCTTACCATCAACCTTCTCGATTTCGGCGATACGGATGGGAATCGGGCGCTTGCTAGACTTGTAGAAGATCTTTCCGAGAGTCTGCACCAGACGCATGGCGATACGGTCATCGGCCAGGAAGACATCGTGCTCAGCGAACAATTGGCGACGACTCTCGAAGCTCTGGTAGCGGGCCTTAAGTTTAGAGAAACCAATGACCTTCTCGATGCGGGATGAAAGGCCCTGAGGGAAGGATGGGTCGGCAATGATATCTTTAACGCCACGCTGGGGGTCGGCAGTGATCAGACAGATGCTGAGGGAGGGGGATGTGTTGAGAGAATGAGGGATGCTGATTTTGCCGGGCTTCAGGCGGTTCTTGTCGACCACATGCTGCTTGGTGGTGAGAACGAGCCAGATGGCTTCGTTCTTGGTCGCGCTAGCCTCGTCGTCGGAGTCATCGTCGCCAATCAGGGTCTTCTTGGTGTTGGTCTTCTCCTGTTCCTGCTGGGTAGACTTGATGTGCTTCAACAGCGCGGTGGACGCTTTGAGGGCCTGATTGAGGAAGATAAGTACTTTGCGAAATTGAATCTTGGGAGTCATCGATACTAACCTGGGGCTTATCAAGCTGGTAAGGTGAGCCTGAGGTCACCTTGGAGGTGAGTTGAGTAGTAGAGGAGCCCATTTTAGTAAGTTGTACACTCGATGAACATCTCCAATTTTTTTGCAATCATATCGGGACTCAAAAAAAAATTGGAAGGCGGTGGCAGTTCATCCGTGCTTGGCAGTTCTGGACCCCAGTTGTTGCCTGAGGCCTGTATCTCTTATCTTGGAAGGGCTATTTGCATGGGATTTGATGGACTCAAAAATTAAGTCTCTCAAAACATGTTTCATCACTACGTTGGTGAAACGCGTTGCTAGATAAACAGCTTCGCACCTATGTTGTACATTTCAAGTGCGAATCTCGATCGGAATATAAATCGAGGACCAAGTTAACCTTATTGGCTTGTTCGGATTTTTCATAGCGAAGGGTTCGTAAAAAAAAAATTCATGTCCAAGAAACCAAAAAAAAGGCGACCTCGCGATGAAACGATAGCAAAAATGAACCGGAGTCCGCCGATGTACTACGCCGACTTGAGCTCATCACCCATTCCATGTTGATGTGAATGATAAAGACCTACTAATCTGCAGCATCTACTACATTTTCCCAAGTACTCTGAGAACTCGTGGTTTTCCGATCCGACCTTACTGTCATGAAACCAGTACTTCGTATGGGGAGCGAATCTAATCATATATGGGGCTAATGGTGAGGGAGAGTAGCGACATGTGAAACCAGATAGCGGCGGTTTATACATCGTATCCATACCCGTGGACGGCTAAAAATCTAGAGCGAGAAGGAGGCTCTCCAGCTGCAGTTCACATTTTGAAAGAGGTCATGGGATCCCAGGGTGTCTCTGAATCTGAATCATTAGGTTGGTTCCCTTTCGGTAGCTTTTATAGTATCGAAGGGTAACTCCGAAGCGGCTGATGAACGTGTTCGGGTGCGTTACGAGATACTATGCGGCTAGAATAAGCTCGAATGTCACCATAATTTTAGGCTGTTTCATATTATCTAAAAATATGCACCATGGAATACAACGTACTCCCTCGCTTCTCCAGAAAATGGAATCTCTCAAAAATTGATCGCCACCTTATAGGTGCCAAGTCCAGCACGGCTTGGGTAACTATTTATAGACAAATGGGTTGGATCTCCGTGTAGATCAGACCATTGTTGTAATATATGTTGATAAGGATTATAAACTATTTCCATGGGATATACCCCATTTGAAATTGCCATCTATTTTGGGTTTTATAATGGTGATGGTTGAGGTGACTGAGCATGAGAGAGTGCATGTCGCACGCCCCGAGACACAGGAGTAAGCCGTGATAAAATCGGAAAACGGAACCTATGCGAAATTAAAATTAATTCACATGATACGAACGGTGGTCCCCGAGAAGCCGAACTGTGGATGCTCTCCGGCTTTAATATATAACCAAAATGCTTGAATGTTAGCAGCACAGAGCATGATATATGTCGCAATATCCGTTACATATAATGTCCTCCGTACAATACATATCCCAAGGGATTACGTAGGCCTATGATATAACTACAACGTAAGTCTTATTAAGCTATACCTGAATCTACTTTAAAGCACCAAGTACAACCTAGAGGAAAAGGAGTTGAGTCGCCAGATGTTACAATCGTTGCCACAGGCACCAGGTTAAACAAGGTTGAAAGAATCGGAACGATCGGAGGGGTGTGGAGCTGAATATTCGCACCCGTGAAGGTAGATTTCATGCGTTGTTGGTTTTGACTGTTTGCTTTGAATATAAATGTAGCAATTGTGGTCTGAGTAGCATTGTACCTTAAGACAAAAGCATATCTCCATCAAAAGGCCGCCTCGGCTGTTGTATGGAGAACGTAGAGAACGAAGAGAACGTGGGCCATGGTGTGGGACGATTCATTTTTCCACACATTATTGTTACAATAATACATTTAGTAATTTTAGTGTAATTTAGGAGGCCTGCTAGAGGGTGCTATGACGCGGACAAGGCCGTGCCGTCCAGGTAGGATTAAGATTGCTGTGGATCGACGAGTCCGTCGGCCTCTAGCTCGCCTATCATTATTCCACTGGCCGATTATCAAAAAAGTGGATGGGCGGAGCAACTCACGGCTACTAGAGAGTATGGAGATTATGGAGAAGTGCGTGAATTTAGAAATTTAAAGCGCGGAGTCGTCATCACTGGTGATTATAGCTCGAAGCCTAGGAGTGCAACGTGTCTATGTACTCCGTACCTCCTGACTAGTTGGGGAATTCGTGCAGTAATTAAAGAATACAACATACGTGGGCTGATATTTAATTTCATTTGCGCCATGAACAGGTTCGATTCGGTATATTATCAAATTCCCTACCGAATTTGAGTCCAGTTAAAGTAGAAAACCCGGTCTAGAAGCAGGGAAATCCCCTTGCTGGCTACACCGTACTGCAAGTCTTGGAAAAGCTGGGCGGGGACCGAGTCGATCGGTCATGTTGTCAGGGGGTTCCCCTTGCCCCTTGTTATAGGATGTCAATAGTTAAGAGGCCTTTTACTACGGAGTATAAGAATTGTTAGGGGGAAGTAACTTCAATAGCGTATTTTAATAAATTGCAAAGAAACAAAGAACCTTGGAATATCGTGGACTCCGTATTTTGGAAGGTTAGAATATCCATAAAAATTCCACTGGGTACCCATGGATACGCAGGGAATTTCGGCAAGCCATGTGAATATCTGATTGGTGTACCTGAATTCTGGGGCCCAAACAAGGGTTCGTGTTGATTGGCTCCCCCTGGCAGTTTCTACTCTCGTTTCGCCAAGGGAAAAAAGTAAACAAAAGAAAAACAAAAAAGGAACTGCCTCACCCATGGATGTAGTTGGACAGCATAGAAGGTAGGCTGGGCGCTAATGTAAATATGAACCTTTAGAAATATGATATTGGATATGCCAAGCAAACGGGTAGCATCCAGACTCTGTCCAGGGGTCCACTACCAAGAGGTAGGCAGTGTAAGACAAGTATCTCAAAGCCGTATCCCGTACCTGCCCCTTTTCCCGTGACTATCACGCTAACGATATTGGGAAATGGGATGAATCGCCCCCCCCTCCTTTTTGTCTCTCCTTGAGTTCTTCTTCCCCAGTCTTCGCAACAGTCCTTTCTCGAAGTTTTCCCACACCAGAGAGATTCGTTCTCTCCACATTCTTTTGAAAACAGCCGTCTTTTTACTCGATTCTCTACGACAAACGCGAATACCCTTGATGTATGTGCTATATCCCGTTTATCTCTACATATTGCAATAGCAAGTCGCGATTGGGTCTGGATTGCTATGTGTCGGGGAAGTGTATAGACAATTGTGCAACACAACAGACGCGACTTGTGGCAGACACTCGATCGTGCCCAAGCTGCTTTACACACGAGGGAGAACTATTCGACGAAAAGAACCATACATGGATTTGAACGCAACTAATACATCGTGTTTAGCAGATTCCCACCACTACAATGAAGTTCCAAAACACCGTTGCCGCATTGGCGACGGCTGGCCTCGCCACCGCTCACGGCCACGGCCACGCTCACGCCCACAAGCGCGCTACTGAGACCGAGATCGTTTCCGTCCCCGGCCCAGTTGTGTATGACTTTGTTGTACTGGATCCTTCCAAGGCCAACGGCCCTCAGTCTATCACCATTGAGGAGGCCTGTGAAGGTCTCGCAAACCACGAGCTTGAGTGGCTGGACTCTGCCGTTGCTGCTGCTTGCCCAACTAGCAGCACAACCACCGCCAAGCCCACCTCGACTTCCACGTCCGCCCCAACAACAACCGCTACCGTTGCCCCTGCCATCCTCCAAGAGACCTCAGCTGTTATCAACCCCCCCAGCTCGACCAGCACAGCCGAGCCTACTACCACCACCACCAAAGCCGCTGCTCCTACTAAAAGCTCTTCGTCCAGCTCGAGCTCCGGTGCCAAGGGCCTGACCGCCGACTTCCCCGAAGGAGAGATTGACTGTGGTGACTTCCCTTCAGATTACGGTGCTATTGCCCTTGACTACCTTGGTCTGGGTGGTTTCTCCGGTATCCAGTATGTTACTATCTTCGATGACCTGATCAGCGATATTGTGACCGCTGTTACTGGTGATGAGTGCCATCACGGTGCCATGTGCTCCTACGCTTGCCCCCCTGGATACCAAAAGTCCCAGTGGCCTACCATGCAGGGATCTACCGGCCAGTCCGTTGGTGGTCTCGAGTGCAAGGCCGATAACAAGCTCTATCTCACCAACAAGAAGCACAAGCAGCTTTGCATCCCTGGTGTCGGCGGTGTTCACGTCAAGAACAAGATGACCCACGAAGTTGCCGTGTGCCGTACCGATTACCCCGGTACCGAGTCTGAGACCGTTCCTCTCGCCGCCTCCCCTGGTACCGTTCACGACCTGACATGCCCCAATGGTGACGACTACTTCTTCTGGGAGGGCAAGGTCACCTCCGCCCAGTACTACGTCAACCCCAAGGGTGTGTCCACCGAGAAGGGTTGCCAGTGGGGTGATGGCAGCGAGCCCATCGGTAACTGGGCTCCCATCAACCTTGGTGTCGGTTACACCAAGAATGGAAAGTTCCTGTCCATCTTCCCTAACACCCCGACCACCACCGAGCCCCTCGACTTCAACGTTAAGCTTGAGGGTGACAACCTCAGCGATGAGTGCCGTTACGAGGATGGCAAGTTCTACGACTCCAAGGGTCCCATCAGCGGTAACAGCGGCTGCACAGTAAGTTTTTCGTCCCACTCTCCGTTTGCAAATTATACTAACATATTTCCCTAGGTCGGTGTCACCTCCGGCAAGGCCTACTACGTCTTCTACGACTAAACGTCGCCACTGCTTTTTGGTCGGCGGTCCTCACACTGCCAAGCGAAACTCGATGAGCTTCCCATGCTCGAATTACACTAGGGCGAGCAGAGCTCCCGCTTTCATCCCACTCCCCTGTGTGCATCTGTCTATATTCACGGCTTCTTATTCGAAGGATCATTATTCTTTTCTGTGTATCTTAAGTTCTATTTTGTTTCATGTGTGACTGGGCCCGAAATCCAATCCTCGTTGCATCCTTTTTGTTTTATTTCTTATGACCATATTTTATCCCCTGGTCAGACACTGATGGGAGCGATTTCTTTTTTATTTGACGGCTAGATTTACCTTCTTTATCTTCAAGTACCAATCAGTTCTTGATTTCAAATCTATCCCTCGTTCCCTTCCCTTCATCTTCGTCCTGGTGACTGGATCTTCCTACCCCATATTTTTCTTTGGACTCTTGGTTACTTGCTTTGTCCTGTGCTTCGCTTGAAGTGAAAGGTTCTAGTGTACGGGTTGGCTCAACAGGGGAACTTATGGCACACAGCTGGTTCTGTAACAGTCGGTAATCGGCTGGCCACTCTTGACTTGGCCTAACATCCAACCAGAAGTGATCTAGTCCACCAGCTATGCACTGTCTGTCTTGATAAAGCTATCTTCTTCATCTTTCGAATGATATCCTGCAGCTTTCTTTCATATTTTCTCCCATGATAAAGTACAAGACTAGATGGCCGCTTATGCGGCTTTGTGGTATCCTTTTGGTAGTCTTATCAGTGGTCCAGATATTCTTTTTGAATGTCATTTTTCAAGGTATTTCCTCTCCAGTTTCGGTTTGATGGCTAGGTAGACAGCAGAAAGAAAGCGGTACGAGGCATATTTTGTGAAAGCGACTTTCCTATGTACAACATGTAACCTGGGGAGTACGTGTCAAAGCGAGCTAATTACTTAGTCCATTGGCAATCGATGCAGGGGTCCTCTATCGAAGGCACATGTTGTATAACCTGCGAGTGGCAATGTGTGACATATACCAACCAAGGTATCCATTTGAGCTGCCAAAAATTCCCCACAAAGTGAGGGACAGCTAATTATTAGTGTAGCGGCAAGCGCTTGTATGTGACACATCGCGTACATGAAACGCCAGATGCATAACCCTACCCGGTAACTATAGCATGCATGGTTGCGTCATTGGTTATACCTCTATTGGCAACAGAAACATTCTATTTCAACAGGTATATCGCGGCTTGCTTGAAAGGAATTTGTCTATATAAAATTCGTGATTCACGTGGATCACGTGCTTATATATATAGGGGCGAAGCCCTAATAGATCGTGACACTTAAACCTCTTCAGGGCTTTCCGTAGACCTACAGCACCTATAATAGCCGATGAGGTAAAGGTTCCGGCTTAAAACTATGCCATATCATTGATATACATACAGGTTTAGATCCAAATGCGTACTTTTCTGATGACATGCGTGAAATCGTTGTCCTTCATGCAAACAGGCATCTACACCCACCTGGTCGGACTTGACGGGTGGGTGGAGTTGCTTGGTCGTTCTGCCGACCACTAGCTTCATATGGGCTATACTACAGAAGAGGTCTAATCTGAAAAGCCTGACAGCCAAGCTTTAGGACTAATTGATATCGGAGGCGATAATTGTGAAGAGGTTTGCTGGTGGTGTGCCATTTCTGGCGATGGCTGGGTTACGCCCACCGCTCACAACGGTCATGTCCATTTTTCGCCATGGTTGGTGTCGGCAGGGGGTTTGAGACCGAAGGGATATCATCTCAACTATATATCCATATACCAGGATTCATAGGTTGATCTCGGGGGCTCTGAAGGGAAAAGACCGAAAGGCTGGTCGGATGTGGAATGGTACTGGAGTCCAAAGAAACTACGTCTTGAAAGCTGAATTGAGGTTACTAAGCGGTTTTGTGGTCAAAAACAAGGCAAAAGCGAGTGTCTTGAAATGAAATGGTCGATTAGAATGTAGAGCTGGACCAAGAAATAAATACAAAAGCAATCATTGAACATTCCTGCAGGTCGGGGAGGGAAGGGGGCCGGCAGGTTAATTCGATAAGCAAAATACACTATGGAGCTTGAGTAGGAAATGGTCATTGCTCAATTACGTCGGGTTTTTTGTATTACATCTCATTATGGTTTAATATAATTTTCACATTGTACCGTTTTATATAACCGTTAGACCATATGCGTTAGATTTATATATTAGGCAAGGGCACTTTACGAGAGGCATAATTTCACAACTGAATGAAAATATGAAATCAGTTGCTCCATTAAATTACCCAAGAAGATTCTTTGGAGTTTTCCAGCCCTGGTGAAGACCGGTGAGGTTAGCTATGCTAGAAAACATAGCAAAAACCAAACTACCCGAGGCCCCACCAGTTGTCAACAAAAGATCTAGTGCAAAAAAACCAGGGCGTTTTGTCATTTTCATTTTTTCAGATGTTATTGGTCAGGAATTTAGCTCATGTGTCCTTGGAGAGAAAACATATTTGACCAAGGAGTCAAAATGAAGGTATCAAGGTGGTAGGGCAAATGGCTGGGAGACGCGACGAGGTGACCGGTGATCAAATTGACAGTAAGTGGGGGTAAGGGGGGTTAGGGGTTTGCATTTTCTGCTGGGAATTTACTGTATACCCTAGTACTACATATAGCTTCGTACTAGGAACTAGAGTACTAGCTAGGTATCAGTTTGGGGAAACCTACTTAAATTTCACCCTTGGCTTCTGAGACTTGACTAGGTCGATAATATAAGATAGAAGATATGTTGCACTCATTTTTTTGAAGTCATCCAAGGGGTTACCGGTTAAATAAGACGAATGTTGAAGTCAATACCAGTCCTGACACATCCTTAAACCCGATTTACTGTCTCGCGTGGGGTCACGTGTTTTGAGACGCGGACGCGCCGCAGTGTATAGACCTTAACAGCACGAATTAAGAGGAAACAAACCTCTAATTCGCGCCTTTTCACGTTTTTATCTCTCAATTTACAATTTGCTAGTTGTACAATACCTAGAGTTAGCAATTGAAATCGCGAATCTGCAGTGGAGTGTGGTTGGCGCCTATCGAACGCGTCTCGGGCTGTAAGCGTGCATTTCCGCGCAGGGTGGACAAGACGCCTCCGCCCCAGGGCATTCCACCACCACACACCTTTCGACCTTTTTCTTCAATGCTTCTCCTCCTTACTCCTTGACCAATTTCTTTCATCCCACCACACCCTTTTCTCTAGGGGAGGCCTTGAAGTCTTTCTCTTCTTTCAAAATTCTCGAGCTTCTTCTCTGTGTTCCTATAACACGCGGAGACGCGGGTCCTCGACCTCGACTAAGGTTTTTTTTTTTCGTGAGTAGAAGAGCTCGTTCGACTTCATCCCACCTTTTTTTTTCACTATGGAGTCCTCTCCGTTGAAAAGCCGAGTTGGCTCTATCTTGGGCATGAAACGTCCTGCAGCTCTACTGCCTGCCTTTGAGCCGAGCTCGTCGCCCTCCCTTCCTCGGCCTCAAAAGCGTGTAGCACGCGAACCAGATATCTCGACGTATCCAACCCCGGTGCCGACCTCGTCGACTCATATTATGTCCTCTTCGCCTCCTCCTGGCGTCGCTGCCTCCCGACCCGCCCTGTCACGGTCCTTCTCTGCCGCCATCGAACGCGCTCCCTTGTCTGCCGTGCCTGCCATAATGCTGTTGGAGAATGGGGAGCCCATTCTGATGGGAAGATCCAGTGTCTCATGCCATCACCAGCTTGCTGCTAGTCGGATGATTTCTCGTGTTCATGTCAAGGCTACATACAAGCCAGCCCCAAACCCGTTCGATCGGGATAGGGTTGAAATCGTGTGCATGGGATGGAATGGGATAAAGATTCACTGCCAAGGGAGGAAATATGATCTGGCCAAGGGCAAGACATTCACCTCGGACATCAAAGATGCAGATATCATGATAGATGTCCACGAGGCTCGCGTTCTGGTTCAATGGCCTCGCAACGAACGAAGGGACTGCCCCTCTACCGACTCGGAACAGACCAGTGACGAAGCAACGCCAACCCAGCGACGCCAATCCCGACGAGAGCTGCAGGAAAGCCCGCTCCTTGATCGCCAGCGTCTGGCATCGCCGGTCTCTCCTTCGCCTGTTGCTCAGCATGCCATCCCCCCATCGTCGCCCATTTTCACACCTTCTCGTTCTCGTGCTGCAGTAGTCGTATTCGAGGATGAGCCCTCTCCATTGAAGCGTCACAACACCGTCACTGGAGTGATGTCTCAGAGTGCCCGTCGTGCTACTGCTATGTTGAATCACACCTCACGGGCAAGCGAGTTGAGCGACCTGAGTAGATCTGAAGAGTTCTCCGACAATGACGAAGAGAATGATCCTATCATCCACTCCTTTGGACCATTCGGAGAGAACCTTCTTCCTCGTATGGCTTCTTTCCGGGCGGGCGATTCCCCCATCCACACTGCTCGTTCTCCTCGCAGCCTGCTGCCAGCCCAACCCCTCCAGCCTACCCGTTCCCCTAGACAGCCAGCCACCGTCCACGAGGACAAGGAATTAGAGACCCCAGAGGCCAAGCCCCAGTACACCGACGAACGGTCCGAGAGAGTCCGCAACCACGCTGCCAATCAACTCGCTTTCTCCCGACTCTCCTCCACACCTTTCTCAACTATCTTGAACAACCTCCCTCCCGCTTACTGGAAGTCTGGTCACGAGTATCCAACCAGCCTTTCGAGGTCTGATATCCGCAACATTCTCGAATCGACCAAGTTTATTGGCAGAGTTGCCCGCGAAGGCAAGGATGCCGCTGGCAAGCCACTTGAGAGTGAATATTACTACGTTCCTGATGAGGATGACGATGCGATGCGCCGATCTGCTGTGGTGGATGATCTTCGGAAGCCTGGCCTGCGCAACTGTCGGAAGCAGCACAAGGTTAGCACCTCCATGTCCCCTATACATATATTGATGTACCCGAACCCCCACTAACTTCTTTCCAGCAATACTTCTGGCGCAAGCCCAAATGAATCATTGACCGAATAAGTTCCTTTGTCTTTCCGCCGTCGGATGGACTTTCTCAGTACATATTTCCAGTGATTCTTTGTCTCCCTGGCTGTTAGGGAGACCCGCATAGCGTGGCGCGAGGCATACCCTGTTTTAGTTTACTTATTATCCACATCCTTGTTTTTTTTTTTTTGCTTTGTTTCTGCTTTGTTTTATTTTCTCGTTCCGTTATCGACGTGTATGATTTCTTGGTTTCCAAAAAGCGCTTGGATACATCGAAGTTGGTCTTTAGTTTCCAACGCGTCATGTTTCCTTTGGCCATCATTGGTCGTTTTGTTTGCCCTAGAGATCAGTTATTCTGATGCCGGCTCTCCTGTGTTGCGCGTGTCTCTTTGGAGAGATACTTCGCTTGACTCTTAGTCTACTAACCCTGTCCAAGTCACGCGCCCTTCGCGGACTATGTATCCTACATCTGCTTTTGCCTCGTTGGTTTCGCCATTTTTGTCAGTCTGCTTTCCAATGGTTGAACGCACTCACGACTTGTATGCTAGCTTGTCAATTTCAATATATCAGCTCGAATTATTTGTTACCTTGATAATGTATGGGATGCAATGGAGTTATTGGTTGTTATGCCTTGCCAGCTAGCAAGAACAAAATCAAAAGGATGCTGCGTTACACCCAGTCACGCCATATAGCAAATCATTTAGTCATAAATCATTCGACCCGCCTGGATCCAAGGTGATACAGCAGATGCTCGCTGCAGGGTTTGTGCCATTGCTGTCTTAATATCACGTTCATGCACAAACAGAACCCTTGACAAACTCTACAATGCTAGGTATACCGTCATTATGTAGGAAGATATCGATGATGCTCCTTTGTACCTGTACCATATCCGTTGTTCTACTCCTGTAGATAGCCTGATGTCTTCGCCACCTACACGTCATATCTACCTCCACCCAAATACAGGAATACTTGCTTACGCCTTGCCCTGTGAGAGGTTCTCTTAACATATATCATCTCTGCAAACCCCACTAGAATCAATCTCACTCATTGCCACACCGCATATCTAGACTTTGAATACCCCGCGCCGAAGAGGTATAAAAGGACAAGTAGAGCTGTGAACACAACATTGAGCACCCCCAATATCTTTTTCTATACCATCATAAGCTAGCTCCAAATCGGTGGCTTCAGAGTATCTTACGTCCCACTCTCGGTCTTACCCTCTATCCACCCACATCACTCAAAATGGCATCAAACAACCAAAATGATAGCCATGGCCAATTCTCGAATACCGGCAAAGAACACACCGTCACTCTGCCCTTTGCCCAGAACCCCAATTATTCAACCGATACCACCGGACCATCGGGTCTCAACCGAGAGGGCAAATCTCTAGAGAAGTCGTGGAAGCCGAATTTTGATCGCAAACATAGCTGGAGTAACGAGGACCGCAAGCACGAGCTGCAAGAACGATGGCACAGGTCGGAAAAGGGAAAGGAGATGGGCTTCACAGAGGCGCATGCGCATAGTGGGGATTAGAATGGTTCGAAACAGCATTTAGTGCTGCAATGATCGTCCTTTGGTGCAGGGTTATACCACATGGTGGGACCATAGGAAGTGGGGAGTTAGGGGAGAGGGTTTAGGGATAATGAATCATAAGCTATTAAATTGAGCATCACATAGGGTGAAATTGAAATTGAGATTGAAAGAATATAACGAAGCGTTGGGATAAAAGTAATCAAGTGAAGTACAAAGTGAAGTTATCGCACAAGTCGGGTGGATAAATGGATAAGCAAATAAAAGTCCGCCTTCACCTCCGCTCCGCCTTGGACCATTTGGACCTTTAGACCTGCATCTCCTTCAAAGCTTTGAGCTTTGTATTCTCTCATCTTTTCTTTTCCCCCAATGTGGCATTCACGTCACTTATGCGCTTTCCTCTCGGACATTCAGAAAGGACCCCACGATTGAGCCTGTGTGACACACAGCCATGGATCGCCAACGTAAAAGTACGGTCTATCGCACCTCACCTTGGAGACCTTAACTGACGTTTGTCCTTTTCTTATTGCAGGGGAGCTTCGCGACCTAAACGAGCGAGCCTGGGCAGGTGAATCTGGTAAAATCCCATCTGACTCCCTTTATGACGAAATGTCATTATAGCCCACCTTCGAGGTCCTAACGACTTGCAACCAGATGTATTCTCCACTAGCAAGTCCCTTGACTCGGCGCTCAAGAAGAACACCGCCTTCATCAAACGTCTACGAACTGGCATTAGTGCCTCCGCCCTTTCTACTTTCCTCGCTGATATCCGCACCCTCTCGCTCCACAAGTACCTTTCCGAGATCATTTCCGCCTGCTACGAAGGCCTCTGCAAGCTCAAATCCCCTGGAGAAATTGCCGCTGGAGTAGAGGTCGTGAGTGCGCTACATCAACGTTTCGGACCCTGGGAATTTACACGGCAGATCGGCTGGCTGCTCGGCCGCGGACTGAGCACACCGGATAAAGCGCAGCTCAAGGCGCTCAGCCAGGAGATCCGCGAACGCGAAGAGAAAGACCGGCTGTCTCGACACCGCGTTCTTCTCCGCGTTGTTACGGAGCTTTGGCTGGTTAATGTGCTGAAGACTCTTGATGACGTCGAGCGACCCGAGGAACTGGGTGCCAAGGGCAAGGAAGGAGCAGTTGGCATTGGGAGCAAGCCGTCCGATGCCCCGTTGAAAGCTAAGACTCCCGCTGCGGGCGCGAAAGACCAGGACAAACAGGCCGACCCGTTCCCATTGGAGGTTCTGAAGGAATTGCTCGGCCATGACCGTGATCATACGAACCTACCTCTTGCAGTCTTGTTTGTGAAGAGTTTCAGCTGGGATATCGTCGGCTCGAAGCTTGTTGAAGACGGCAGGAAAACAGTTGAGGCGGATGGCGCTACTACGGTTTCTGGCGCAGACGCGCAGACTACGGAGGCCAATGGGGATGCCAACTCGGAGAGTGATTTGCCCCTAACCCCAGAGAAAATTCAGCAGCGATTTAGAAATATCCTGAACCGGTATCTTGAAGATGTCAAGGCCCACGTGGTTCGAGACCAGAGAGCGCTGGCACAGCAAAACCGCCGTAATGCTGAGGCATACGTGAAGAGTGGTGAGATCTTCGAGGACCGCCAGGCTAATTTCGAGAAGCAGTCTAAGGTTCTGGAGAAGCTCGTAGCCAATACTCAGGTGCTGTGCGAGGCTTTGGGAACCGAAATGCCCGACCTAGCCGAGAAAGAACCTACCGATGCTTCTGCTAGTGGTGGCATTGGCCTTGTGAAGACCACGGACTACCTACGAGGCCAAGGCGAAGGCGCTGGGATTTGGGAAGACGAAGAGGAAAGACGCTTCTACGAGAACCTGGTCGATCTGAAAGGCAAGGTGCCTGCGGTCTTGCTCGAGGATGGTAAAAAGAAGAAAGTCGAAGGCGAGGAGTCTGGTAAAAAGAGACCAGATGGCGAAATCGCCGACTCTGCCGAGCCTTCGGACGAAAAGTCCACCGCGGAGGCTGATGACCAGTCAACTGCCATTGCCAGCAAGACTGTGGGTGCACAGGTAGACTCCCTTCTTTCCAAGCTTCCCGAGTTGCAAACGAAAGATCAAGTTGACCAGTTTGCTCTCGATTTCTGCTGGGTCAACTCTAAAGCATCACGAAATAGGCTGGTCAAAGCTGTCTCGGACATCCCTAAGGGTCGTATTGATCTTTTGCCTTTGTATTCTCGCTTGGTGGCGACGCTTGGACAGTACCTTCCAGATATTCCACAGGGACTGACCACGTACCTCGATGAGGAGTTCCGAAGTCTGCAGCGACGCAAGTCCAAGGAATTCCTCGGCCAAGTACGCATGAGCAATGTTCGCTATCTAGCTGAACTGACCAAGTTTGGTGTCGTTCCCGAGCATATCATCTTCCACTGTTTCAAGGTTTCGCTTGACGAATTTTCGCGCATGAACATTGAAATTATCGGCCATTTGCTGGAGAACTGCGGCCGTTACCTTCTGCGCAACCCCGACTCATCACCCCGGATGGCCTCTTTCCTCGAGACCTTGAGTCGGAAAAAGACCGTGCAGCATCTCGCCCAGCAGGAGCGGATGGTCATCGAAAATGCCATCTACTATGTTGACCCCCCACCACGCCCAGCAATCCAGCAGAAGGAACGTACGCCCATGGAGCTGTATATCCGCCGGCTGATCTACCTGGATATGAACAAGCGGAATTACACCAAGATCCTGAAATCCATCCGCAAACTTCACTGGGAGGAGCGAGAGGTCGTCGAGATTCTTGAACGTGTATTCAGCAAACCGGTCAAGGTGAAATATGGCAGCATTCACCTTCTGGCAATTCTTGTCAGTGCTTTGTACCGGTACCACCAGGATTTCGTGATTGGTATCGTAGACAACGTCCTGGAGCAGATCACGCTTGGACTCGAACAGAACGACTTCAAGTTTAATCAGAAGCGTATTGCAGAAATCAAGTATCTAGGTGAGCTCTACAACTACAAGATGATCGATTCCCCCGTGATCTTCGATACATTGTACCGAATTATCACATTTGGCCATGAAGGTGGTACCCCGGCCCCTGGAAAGATCAGTCAGCTGGACTTGCCAGACGACTACTTCCGGTTGCGCTTGGCATGCACTCTTCTTGATACCTGTGGCCACTGTTTCGACCGTGGATCTGCCAAGAAAAAGCTGGATTTCTTCCTTGCCTTCTTCCAGTACTACTTATTTACCAAGGATCCGCTGCCCATGGATGTCGACTTCCTTGTCCAGGACACGTACCACTCTATCCGCCCGCAGTGGAAGCTTGCTACTGATGGCGAAGAAGCGACCCGGATTTTCAGCGAAGCTGTTGCCCTGAACTACAACGTTCAGGATTCCGAGAGACCTGTTGAGGCCGATGAAGAAGATGCTGAGAGCAGCTCTTCTGATGAGGACCTCGAGGAGGATGCTATTCCCGAAATAGACGAAGACCAGGAATCCAGCGACGAGGCCGAAGTAGGTCCCCCATCTCATCTGCATGAAGTACGCCCAATTAACCCGTGTAACCCGTCGAAGGCATCTGGACCCAATCCGGAGGCAAATGACGATAGCGATAGCGAGTCTGAGGACGAACAAATCATTGTCACCAGACAGGAAGAGGAGCGAGACCCAGTAACAGAGGCCGAATTTGATCGTGAATTCGAGAAGATGATGGCCGAGAGCATGGACTCGCGACGGTTCGAACGCAAGACCGTCTTTGATATCCCTCTTCCCATGAAGCGCCCCCGCGAAAACATGCCCAGCGATTCCAGCCCTGAGCCAGTCCCGGCAGTGCCAGTTGCGCCCAAGACAATGGCTTTCTCCCTGATGACAAAGAAAGGAAACAAGCAACAGGTAGTGCTTTTCATCCACATCCGCAATATCTTACAGATTGCTAAACATATCTAGACCCGCACTATCGATCTCCCGTCGGACTCGACCTTTGCTATTGCCATGCGGAGCCAGCAACAAGCTGACCGGGAGGAACAGCAGCGTATCAAGAACCTAGTCCTGAACTACGAGGCGTCGACCGAACCCGAACCCACCGAGAGTGAGCAATACCCCCTGATTAGCCGGAAGAACTTCCAACTGAGATATCCCAAAGCAGCAACCCAGGAAAAGCGCACCCCCACTGGCCAGCGAACGGACAAAGCCGGCGCGAACCGGTCCGCCTTCCGTTCCCGCAAGCTCCAGCTCAGCGACGTCAATTGGTAATGAATGCTGCTACTCTCTGGACCAAGGTCCACATTCCATATCTTCACTTGACACAGCAGCCAGCGCCTTTCCCTCGTGGAAGATTGCCATCCAACCATGGAACAATCCTTCCGTCTCTGCACTGCCTAGTGTGAAAAACTCTTGGTTCAACCCAATGAGCTTATCTATGGTATACGTCGCACACAACGCGAGTATGCAAATGCCGTATAAGTATGAGCAGGAATCCGTTCTCGCTAATGGAATCTACCCCGTCGCGAATGCCATCGAAATGGATGCACTCCTGTTGCTGCCCGGGATCCTTCTTTTATCACTTTCCCATCCCGACTGGCGAGTTCCTGAGCTGAGTGGAGAGCTTGATATTCTTCATCCCCGCATACGGAATCCCGAATCCCGATATGGTCGCCAATCATCACTTACTATGGCGAAAGACATTGCCACTTTGCTGCCCTCTTGTGGAGATCGTACACTATTCGATTTAGGGGTGATGGGGGTCAATGGCTCGGAGAATTAGAGAATCAATTAGAATGGAAGGCACAATTACGAATTTTATGCTATGGATGTATCTCTCAGCCGATCTCTATTGTTTAGCGGTAGTAATTAATGTAACTGGCTTTCTTTGCACAAGAAAATGAGATAGAAACAAATTGTTTTCGGTAAAGGGGTTAATTGCCTCTTACCTCTCAAACAGTCTAATGATACCTGTTTCGGTCCGAGGAATCTTCGTTCTCAAGGTATACCTCGATCTAAAGAAAGAGGCACATTGGTACCCACGTTGACCCCTGAATCGAAAGAATAACACGCACCTTGTTGGTCATCTTTGAATCGACATCCTTGCAGCACAGACAGGAGGCAATACTCAAGATGCCGAAGGCCATAGCCACAAGAAAGAACCTATATGTATTATTAGAATTCACAATATAACTGACGTGTCATATATGGAAGAGACAATCCATGTTCTAAAGTGACGACGGTTTATTTGATTCGTTATAAACAGTCGAAGGCGAGCTTGGTCTGTTGGAGAACCAGCCTGCACCGGATCCTTTCTCCTGTCCACAGCCCTGCAATTTAATGCGGGTGAAAGGGAAATGGAAAGAGAAATAATTTCAAACAGCCTCTAACGACAGACCAGATTAATCATACGAAGAGAGGGGTATGGATCGTCTCGCGCTAACAATATATGAAAAAAACCCCCGTCGTCGTTTTTGTTTCTCAACGTGGTTCTTTCCCCATGAAGTATCAAACACCATCACATCTCTTCTCTTAAAATGGGCTCACAGATTGAACCCAGTGTTGCTATCGTCGCAGGTGCCACTGTCAGTACAATGAAACTGACCCCATAGGACCCGCTATCAGACACTGACCAGAGGTCCATTATAGTCTGGCATAGGGCTTGACCTCGCCAAGCACCTCTGCGCAAAAGGATGGAAGGTCGCATGTCTAGGTCGACGCCGTGAGGCCGGTGAAGCCATCCTGAAAGACCTGCCACAGGACAGAGCGCAGTTCTTTGCCGCCGACGTCTCTAACTACGACGAGTACGCAAGTGTATTCCGCAAGGTGCATGAGCTCTGGGGACGTATCGATGCATTATGTGCCAACGCCGGTATTATCGATAGGTCTTCCATCTACATCTACGACTCGAAGAACAATAACGCCGACGACGTCCCACCGGCACCAGATCTGTCCGTCGTGGACATCAACTACAAGGGTGTTGTGTATGGCACCCAACTGGCAATCCATTTCATGCGCCATAACCCGCAGCCTGGTGGTCGCATCGTCGTCACGGGTAGTATTGGCTCCATCTTCCCCCACCCGTCATATCCGATATACTGCGGCACTAAGGCTGGAGTGAACCACTTAATACGCGGCATTGCTCCGTTATTGAAGCAAAAGGATAACATTTTGATCAATTGTGTCATGCCGGGGATTGTGAACACACCTATTGTGCCACCCGAGATGGTTGCCGCTGTCAGTCCTGAATGGTAAGATTTTGTTTTTGTCTTCGAGTAGCATTGTGGAGCACTGACATCCTTGAACTTAGTCTCACCCCTGTGCAAACCATTCTCAAAGGCTATGATACGTTTTTAGAAGACTCGACAGGCATGGCGGGTGAGCTATTAGAGTGCTCGGCCAACAAGTTGATCTACTACCAAATGCCCGAGCTTGGAAATGGTCTTGTCACAAAGCGGGCTGTCACAGTCTGGGAGCCACTGTTCCGCATCATGCATGGCGAAGACTCTGGATTACCGGATGCCATTGCGTGAGCATATCTCGGGGGAGTCAAATCTCCACACCGAGACTTCCATTGTCCTAACTAGCTAGCGTCATAAAACAGGACAGTCAGGCTCCACTAGCACGGTTATGCGACGATCTTCACCCTCGAGTTCATATCCTTGGCAAATAATCTCAAGCGAGTCAATAACAGCTTTATTTCTGTCACATTCATTTTGCTCGTCCGTAATGGGATTACGCTCTTTCGCGTGGGCTTCCAACGGGATAAATGTGATATATTATCTTTCATACGGTCTGCTTTGGTTATTGTTGCGTTGCCACCCGTGCCTTGAGATTTGTGCATTAAGATCTACTATTCTCGATATTGGCCCATGTATTTCCTTTCTCTGTTAGTGACTTGGCAGTGCAACGGTGATGTGCGAGCCACTCCACAACTAAGTGGCGCTCATCCCGGACGGCCCGTCGTCATTTATAGGTTTAAAAGCTCCAGCCAAGAGTCAACAGGTCGAGTGCAATCTCATTTCACTTGATCACTCCGTATCCTGGCGAGTGCAGTGAATGGATCCGCAAACAACCCTACAATAGTGCAGGTTTCAGAATTGTCGATTCGATTAAACGCCTGCAACTACCAGGTGGAGTATATCCTCGTGTGTTTGCTCTTATTCGTGTTTTTTTCGTGGGGGCATGTCTGCATGGGGAAACTTCTATTCTGTACTCCGTAAAGAGCCTTTAAACCCGGCATTTGACCGAAATTTATCCTATTGTGTTCTCACCATGCAAATCCAGACGATCCCAATAATGAACCCCCCCCCCCAAAAGGCCCATGCTAACCCGAAAAGAAGACAAGCTCGAAGAAACTCCAAAGATCCCGAGGTCGCAACGAGGATCATTAACTATCTCAGAGACTGAAAACCCTGACAATAAAGTCACCTGTGCCTAAACATGACCCCGATGATCCCCAATACTATAGTATCACCAGACGGAACCAATCCCACCATCTAACCATTAAGAACAGCACCCACCTGATTCTCGACCACCGTCGTCCCCATAACCACACGAATATCCTCATCAGAAAGCATGCTGATCCCGGAAGTATAACCTGCTATCCGAAATCCCCACCACAACTCCGTGCAGCTCCTCCAGGGGTAAGTGTCTGCCGACTATTCGTTAGTAGCATTGAGCCCACCATGTCCGACAAAATATCGTGTCCCTGACTTTGAATTTCAAAACGATAATCCGCATTCGTACACAGAAAGATGACTCAATTGGGACGAGCTCGAGCGAGTCTCTCGCCGTGTCACGTTTAACTTCTCAGCGTTGTGTGAGCGGGACATTCGCGCATGCTTAGGAGCAACCAAAGTGGTCAAATACGAGAAGCAAGATGGATTCAACCGAGTCTTTCTTTTAATAATGGACAATGGACCTTGTGTTGTCGCAAGGATAGGATACCTACCAGTATTTCTGGCCCGCCAAGCTTAACGACCAACTCCGAAGTTACAACAATGATATATTGTAAGATTAACCCATGTATGCGTGTCCTTGGAGATATGGCAGTCTATACTTTGCAGATGCGCCTCTACATCCGGACTTAAAGATTCCATTCGAGGGCGGCTTCTGGACCGCATTGCACTCTAATATCCTGGAACCGGAATCCTGGAGGAAATGAACTCCCTTATCAAGTATCAATTTAGAAGTATATCCATCTATTGAAAATATGCCAAGAGGTGATGCAAAAGTTAGCCAAAGATAAACGCATAAAGGATGCTGCTCTAGTTCTTCTTCACCCAGACTTTAATTAGCGGAATATCTACATCTTAGTCGACGACCTAACCGTCGTTACTAGCCTAATAGATTGGTAGTCCAAAGTATCGAGCCCGCATTGATCTATGCCAATGAGACCCCTGATTTCGCTACAATCTCGGCTATTCTCGATGAAGGTCCATCCGATAATGAACAAGACGACCCAGAAATTTCTAAACAGAAAGAACGAGGATTGAAAGATGCATCCACCTGCCACCAAGACATATGTAGTCATGACAGCCCTTACTCCCAAGGTTCGTCCGGCAAGATTACTCAACCCAACCTTTTTCCGACTCTTCCACTACAGCCATACAACATGACAGCCATACAACATGGAGAGACTCTGCTGCCGCTATCCGGCAAGAGTTAATTGAGCTTTCAGCTGGCTGGAAGGAACTGGGGCTAGAAGGCTCATGTTCATATAATCCCACAGCAGCGGAATCAAACAGCATCAAGAATATAAAGTCTTCGAGACAAGCGCTCAAGTCATGGCTAAAAGACACACTTGATATAACATTTTGACGCTAGATAGACGAGCAATCAAAAAGTCGGCTAGTTGTCAATCACTACCGGAAACAGCGGCTATAAGACTGGGTGGAGCGCGCCAAACCCCTAAACAGAAAAGGAAATTCATCTTCCGTTTACAAATGCTAAGTGACTTGACATATGAGCTACTTCTGTCCAGGTTCGCTTCACTGGTAGATCTTTACGAATGCCCCGAAGAGCTTCAGACTGATCGGCCATACCCGCGTTAAAGTATATAGTCTGCGATAGCGCAATGCCCCGTCATCAAAACAAAGAATTTTCACGTAATAATGAGATAACTAGAGCAGGATTTGGGATCAAAGGCCCGTCAATATAGCGAAGTTCAGTGGAGCTCTCCAATATATCATTGTGTGAAATTGTGAGATACTAAGAGAATCGCATGGTTGTCATTGGTTATATCTAAGTGCGGTCAAGTAGACTAAAATTACATAGTCCACTTCCTAGCAAATACCCGGCACATACTTGGCAAGTGCCTCTCTGCCTTAGGCATTCTCACGTAAGCCCTACAAGCCTTCGGGGATTCACAATTGATGAATCTCATGAACACGTGTACTGTGTTTTGCCCATAAATCCATAACTTCCCCACCGTATTAGTATTTACCAAAGTTATCACATTCCAATATGACAAAAGAATCCAAGCTTATTACTGTCGTTGGAGCGACGGGTACCCAGGGAGGGTCAGTCATTGCTGCTGCCCTTAAGTCTGGTGACTGGAAGATCCGCGGAGTCACTCGCAATGTCAATAGTGATGCATCCAAGGCCCTGGTTTCGAAAGGAGTCGAGATGGTGGCTGCAGATTGGAATGATGAGAGCACCTTGGTGAAGGCATTTGAGGTACAATTTGTAAAACGCTTATGAGCAATGTAGCTAACTCGAACAAAAGGGGTCATATGCCATTTATGCCGTTACTGATTACTGGGCTGGTTTCATGACCCAGAGCGTTAAAGACCTGATTGAGGTCGAAGCTACGCAAGGCATCAACATGGCAAAGGCAGCTTCTCAGACCTCCTCTCTGAAGCATTTCGTCTGGAGTACTATTCCCGACCATGTAAAGATCTCGAGTGGCAAACATTCTATACCTCACTTTGAGGCAAAACTCAAGGTCGACGAATTTATCAAACAAGACAAAAATCTACTCAGCAAGACCACCTTCCTTTGGGTCGGATACTACGGAACAAACATCGTTCTGCCGATGATTGTCCCAAATCTTCTTGTGGGTTCACACTCTCAGACGGAAATTACTATACTGATGTATGCAGAAAACGTGCGGAAAATATGTCCAACTTCTCCCGGTCTCAGACGACACTCCTATCACAACAGTGGGGGACCCCAAGGTCAACACTGGAATCTATGCACTCGCCATCTTCAACCAACCTCAACTCACGATCGGCAGGATTGTTCTGGCGCAGTCGGAGACCAAGACAGCTCGTGAAATTATCAATCTGTGGTCCCAGGTTTCAGGAAAACCTGCGGACTATATTCAAGTTTCCCTTGATCACTATGATAGCCTATGGCCCAAGTGGGGACGAGAGATTGGCCTTATGTTGCAATTCTGGGAGACTGCTCGTGAAAAGAGCTGGACTGCCGATGAACCTGTTCTGACAAAGGAGGATTTGAATATCTCTGGTTTGATTGAGATGAAGGAGATTTTCAGTTCTCTTGAGTGGTCTTGAATTTTGTATCCTATCGAGTTAGTCCTAGCGATATCATCCGCTGCGTTGCCCCTTTCAACATTGATACAAAATCTCCATAGACTCAAGGGCAGGTTTCCCCGTCAACATATTCCGCCTCGACTTCCAGCAGGTCATCTGGTAACGTTCCTAGTGCCGGCCAACCTTCTCTTCGGTAAATTGACCATCCATGCTTTCCATGATCCATCTCCTGGTTGCTATTCTCATGGTATGCCAAATCAGCCGGGACACGTCTATATCTGAACCCTCTCAAACCCGAGAAAGGCAAGTGGTGAAGTAAATCATGACCCGGTTCAGACTTGCACTTGTCTGCTACGACCTGAATGACCGTTTGATCAATTCCAAACTGTCGATCGACGCAAACAAAATACAGTGGGCCCCAGCCGTTGATCCTGGGATATAAGTGAAGATCTTGGACAATGTCCCAGATGTCCTTCACCTTTCCATCAACCATGTCTGTGTCACCCTTCCAATGTATGAGTGAATATTCGGGCCGTGTTTCTTCATTTTGGGAGTCAGCCTCAGATCCAGATCCATCCGACTCATCAAATGCTAGCATAATCCTCTTCAGACTCTGTTTTCCGGCTTCGGTCAACTGATTCGTGAGGGAGAAGACAACTCGAATCCAACTTGTGGTGATGACAGGTAACCACGGGCGCGGGTTGATGAAGAACGGTTGTTCCGGGTGCCAGAATTCTTCTCCAGCGCCCTTTTTACGGAGGCCATACTCAAAAGGTCCTCCATAAACATGAACACAGCCAAGTCTTTCCATGTTCGTGCAGATATCTCCAAATACCATATGTCTCGTTATGACCGGGCTGGGGTAGATAGACTTGATGGTCAAAACGTTAAACTGTGGCTCATCGAGATCAGACAAAGGCTTGCGCAGAAATATCAGAGGCATGATCCCAGGTCTTGTCCTTAGTTCCGCATCCCAAAGACGATATTCATCCCAGAAATCCATGAGATCCAGTCGGGTCTTCATGCGGTGCCGGTCCCATGGGATCAGCTCCAGGGTCATGTCTGGAGTCTCGGTATACCAAGGCTTGGTCTCAAAGATCCACTCCCCTTGTGACATTCTTCTCTTCACCTGCTCGGCGGGAAACATTGCCGGAAGTGACTGCTGTAAAGTTCGTTGTGTCTTCTCGAACTCTTGTGCTGTTGTTTGATACAAGAGGAAGATGACTAGATGCGTATTTCCTGGACGACGTTTCCACACAGGCATTCTGATCGGAGTGCTGTGTATATTGGAAACTTGCACTGCTAGCTCCGTGGGTAGATGGCGACCGAGAGCAGTTACCACCGCATTAGCATAATACTCCCTTCCTGATATATCTCCTGCTCTGGACGTGAATGGTTCTTGATTGGGGTCATGAATTGTCAATCCCCTCCACCCTTTCGCATGAGCCCACAAAGGTCCCCAAGCTTTGTGGACGGATCTGAACCCGCTTGGTTGAGGATCAGGATCATCCCATATGTAATCTATGTCGTCGAGATTGAACATATTCTCTTGGGCGGAGCAAATAGCACGTCTTGCGAATACAGACAATCCACCTGATTGGATATCACAACGTGTAGATAAGAGGATTATTGAAATGACGCCTGGTCTCAAGTCAGCATCGGGGAGATATTTTCCTAATAGTTGACGTTTAGTCGCTTCATCCGCTACGATGATTCTTGGTCGACCGGATCGGTATGCTAGCACAGCGAGGGCATGGAGGTTGCTTTGGCTATCTCGGCATGGTCCTTGTCGAGCAATAGATTCGAGAAGCCGGCGAGGTGGCGACCATGGATGGACCTTGACTTCAGTGATATCCTTTTGGGAAGCAGCCTCAAAGTAGTCGTCAGAACGAAGTTCGAGGTCGTCCTTGAGTGTCTGCTGGATAAGCCCAATAAGCTTCGCTTGGCTCGATGCACATAGGTCGGCCAGCAAGACCAGTGGCCATATATAACCAGGGTCCATGGGTTCATCTAACATTCTGGATGATTTCTCGACGCACTCTCCATGTATAGAAGGACATGTTGCTGAGAAGGTGGTGTTGCTCCGCCCCCACCACACGCTAGTCTGGATACTAATGACAGAAGTCTGACTGTATGAAATGTATGGTATGAACTCAGTATATCAAACTCTCTGTATTTCTATTCCAGGGGTTGTTTTTCGGCGGTTTCAATTGGTTTCGATGGATCAATTGACTTCCAAGCGTCGAGAAACGGGTTGTATTGGTTTAATCGAACAAATCCGGGCTCATAACTGACAGAAGTCTGACTGTATGAAATGTATGGTATGAACTCAGTATATCAAACTCTCTGTATTTCTGTATACGCGCTCCTTACAATTTATATGGAGCATGATTATCTAATCAAAACAATAGAGGATTCATAAATCCTCTGGTATGCTTGGCGTAGCATATATTACCTGTGTATTGTACCGTGTATGCAGACTCGGTATTTGACAACTAATACTAAGTATCAAGTTTGCCTGAAATGGCCCTGCGATGTCATGATACCCAAGCTGCAGGTGGATTATATTGCATGGATTTGCATGAGCTACTCGATTTCTGTTCATACATCACGCAAGCTCTATACTGGATATCAGTTATGATGCAACATGTCTATTCGATTTCCCCTCTTTCTTTTATTTGTCCAAGGGACAAGAGCGTGAATCATATCAGTACAATAAGTTACACATTGAGAGGCAGGGAAGAACACGGAGGAGCGCAGACCGGGGGAATGGATATGCTGAAAGATCACGGAGGGGAAAATGCATCAAAGGCAAAACGGGAGATGGAGAGATGGCAGAAAGGTCTATATAATACACAACTCCAATCCCAGTCCCTGATGTGCATTACAGAAAAGAGATTAAGCAGTAGACTTGTCTCTAGGGGAGGGTGGCGTCAAACAGGATGCAGGGATTTGGGAAGTCGGTCTAAGCCTTGCTGGCCTGGTTCTTCTCCTCGGTGTCATGCGCAGCCTTAGGAATGAGGGAGTCTCCCTCAATGTTCTCGCCAGCAGCAACGGTCTCGTTCTTCATCTGGGTGCTGACCTCTTTGGCGTGGGTCTGCTTCTCAATGGGGTGCGACGACGCATCCAGCTCGGCGGCAGTGGGGGGAAGTTCGGAGGTAGCGGGAGCTTCGGAGGGGGCGAGAGCATCAGAGGGAGCTGGAGCATCAGAGGGAGCTGGAGCATCGGATTGGGGCTCATCATCGTCTTCCAGCTCGGCGCCGTAGACTTCGGGGTGTTGGCGGAAGCAATCTTGCATTGCCCTGCAAAAATTATTAGCACAGGACTATCATCCTCGAAAGTGACGTTAAAACATACTTGAATTTATCAACGCAGTCGATGCCCTTGGGCTCTTCCTCGGAGTAGACGAAGCAGCTGAAAGCAGCCTTGAAGTCCTCTCCGCATGGTCCGTGGGCCATGCCTCCAAGACACGGGCAGTCCCAGTTGATCTCGCCGGTCTCCGGATTGAAGGCAGCCTCCTGGCCAGCCTCCTCCTCGAGCTCCTGAGGGTTCAATCCACCTTCCAAAGCAGCAGGCTCGCTCTTCTTGGATTGCGCGGCAGCTCGTTCTTGGCGAATCTTGGGAGTAATGGAGTCGAGGGTCTGGGGGTTGGCATCATCGGATTGTTTCCGGATCGTAGAAAGGATAGAGACTAAAGCCGAAAAGCAGAGTTAGCGATTTGTGATTCCGAAGCCATTAACCTTGACGGTGAACGGATTGTCGCGGCTTGCAACCTCGGGATGGAGGAACAAGGGCAACCCTGACTTCCAATAGGCGAGACATACACTTCGGCTCCTCGGAGAAAACACTGCTCGTGTTGTAGTAGTAGATAGCTCCACCAGCCAAGCCCAATCGCAAGAAGGTGTTCTTCCAGCTTCTCGACTTGGTCGGACCGGTGCTTATCAATCGTCTGTTCGCTGGTGTACGAGCTGCGACAGCGGGCGCGCGAGCGAGCGCTCGAGCGGCGGGACGGAACATTATGTGTGAGAAGAATGGGAATCAATCGAATTGACCGAGAGTTCCTCCAAGAAGGGATTGAGGGGAGGGGAGTCGAAGACCGCGGGATGGAGAAGTTGGAAAGCGATGGTGGATTTTGGCCTGAGGTTGCCTGCCCGTGTCAGCCAGTCACGTTGCGGCTTGGGTCAAGATAATTATATCGTCACCACAACGCTTTGAGCTCTGATTTCTCTTGGCTTACATCCTTTGGACTACAATTTGATTTGTATTCATTTACAATGGAGTGGAATCCTAGTCGATTCTTCCGTCCTTCAGGGAGTCCTTCGCCCTATGCTCTTCTCATCCTCAATCAGCCAATCAATGAGAAAGCCTTTGGAGTGTTGAGCAGATATGGTAAGATCCTCTATGAATGACATATGACCACAATGGCTTGATAAGAAATACTAATACCCATGCAGCATCTTACATTATTTGCGCCGATGGTGGCGCCAATCGGCTCTTTGATATGCCGGGAGTTAGGGAAGAATCTAAAGAAGTAAGCGATATCTATGGACTTTGCTATGTGTACAATCTTTCTGGACTGGCAAAAGACCCCGAATCGTAGCACGACAAATAACACACCAAGCCAATGTATCAAGCTGACCACATATATAGCTTCCCGATTCCATTGTCGGTGACCTAGATTCTATCCGCCCCGCAGTTCGAGAACATTATGAGAAACTCGGAGTCTCCGTCCTCCAAGATCCAGACCAATATTCAACAGACTTCACAAAATGTCTGAAATATCTCAACGCACATGCCGCAGAGATCATAGCTTCTCCCCGAAAAGGAAAACCAACCACCAATGGCGCAAATGGAAACACATCAACCACACCATCTGATCATTCACCACTGGAAATCGTAATTCTCGGTGGTCTAGGCGGCCGTGTGGATCAAGCATTCTCCCAAGTTCACCATTTGTACATGATGACGCAAACGCAGCGATCAATCCGTGAAAATGAAACCAACACAAGCCCTGATGTCAATCCAGCTGCGGGTGGTAACCTCTATCTCGTCTCCGAGGAAAGCATTACGTTCATTATCCAAACAGGAAAGAATACAATCCACACACCCGCAACAAGACGAGCAGATATCGCGACAGCATCGACATCTGATATAAGCGAGTCACCGAAGAAACGGAAGCGTGAGCAAGAACAAGAGAAAGAACCAGAACCAGAACCAGAATATTTCTTTGAAGAAAATATCGGCATCATTCCCCTCTCAGCACCTGCCAAGATTACAACCCATGGCTTTGAATGGGATGTGGAGAACTGGCATACCGAGATTGGAGGACAGCTATCTACGAGCAATCATATCCGCGCGGACAAGGTAGAGATTGAGACCTCTGTACCGGTTTTGTTCACAGTGGAGTTGGCGGAGAGATTGAAGAGGTGATCGCGAGCGTGAAGCATGACATTGGGAAAGGAGGTTGATAGGAACCACGACAGTCTGTCGGGGACCTCTCATGCCCCACGGAGCCTATATAGTATGTTAAATTGCCTTCCACCAACCGCTGCGTGCCCCGGGTTCTTGACCCGCTCGGCTCCAAGTCCCTGCTGTGAACCTTTTCTTCGTCTTTGGCGTTCCTAGAGCTTAACAAACTTCCGCCTATCTACAGAAAAACCAAGACAGAAGCCAACGGTAAAAGTCGTCCACAGCATGGGTAAACTCGACCATACATATACAACTGCACTCTGATACCCCTGTTACGATTGAAAAATAATAAATCGGTCATTAGAAGAAAACAGAAAAGAATATCCCAAATTGGTAATCAGGACAACCGTAATAGAAACCCCAGGGCGCCTTCTCTGGCTAGAACGAGAGACCAAGAAAGACAGGGGAATGAGAAGGCAAGAAAAAAAACCCAATATCACATATCGCATAACCCACATACCAGTGACTAGAACTTGAACCCATAAACAAACCTAAAACCAACCAAGACGAGGGATAACAATCACCCAAAACACTGAATGACCATTCCTCGCCAGATCATCTGTACAGCCTCACAATTCATATCCCTCTTACGAGCGGTGCAGAATAGCCTCGTACAGAGCACCAACACCACCGATAGCAGTTCCAGTCAAAAGACCGACATCACCACCAGGGACAGAGTCGATGACCTTCCCAATAGTCCACCCGCTATAGAACTCAAAGAAGTTGAAACCATTTCCAAAGACAAAGTGCACCAGCAACGCCTTGACGATATTAAACGTCAACGGATCAAACTGAGCGAGATTAGGCGCAGACCGAGTCCGACGCGCACTGCTAGAAGCCTTCCAGCTCAAGTTGATAAAGTAGGCCGAAATCAAAGGCAAAAGCAGACAAGTAAAGAACCACAGCGAGAAAGGCGCCCAGAACGCTCCTTCTAGGAACACAAACAGATCGGGAACACGGATGGGAATCGCGGGGATCTGCGCCGCTTGCACTGGTGGTGTAGTAGTAAGATAGCGTATCGGGATCAACGCTTTAGCAAGACTGCCACCCTCAAGAAGAAGCACGAGGATCTCAACGGCCTTCACGCTGCTCAGAGTTGCGCGCAGAGAGTGCGCACGGTCTACGAAGCCCGACGCAGTCCATGCATCCTCGATGGTCTCGCGTAGCTTGAGCGTCTGCGTGTCGATGGCTTCGGCGATCGCGGCTGGAGACGCTGGCAGCGATGGCTCGGGATCCACGATGGGAGAGATAATTGATTGACGGGGTGTTTGGCGGGGTGTCTGGCGCGCAGACTGACGTGCGCTCGTGCGCGCCACAGCGGGAGTCGGGCTAACAACGGTTGGGCTGGGCACAACTTCTTCCATATCCTCGCTGACGGGTGGGTTAGTATGTGCGCGACAGCGATAGTATGGCGCATTAGAGGGCTTGCTCTTACATAACTTCCTCTTCCTTCACTTCTTTCTTCGCAGACCGACGTGCTGGAGTTCGCGCCGGAGTTCGCGCGGTTTCGCGCTTCACGGGCGATCCTCTGCGGGGTGGAGAGGCCAGACGTGAGTAGTATTCAGAGAGACTCTTGAGCCCGGAGAAGATAGAGCGGTTTTCGCGAAGATGTCTGTCCAAAACTACGACAAGATCATTCTTGTTATAGTCGTCATAGCTATAGCGATTAGCTCGGTCTATGCGACAATCGCAATCGCACTTACTGTGGGAGATCGGTTTGATCTGCCAACTCGGCCAACTCGGGCTTCTTCAGAGACTTGAGATAAGGAAGAGACATAATGTATCCGATATCTTGAGAATTTGGACCAATATCAAATAAGAAAGTAAATACTGGGGGGAAAGAAGATGCAAGGGAGGGGAGTGGCCGGTAATTGTTTACATCCGCCGATCGCCAAAACAAAACACGGTTTAGCGCGTTCATTCCCTTTGTTCACTCTCTTTGGGCATTTTCCTTTTTTAGATCCTTTAAGGATTCCAAGGTATATAGTAGAAAGGGTTCTTTCTGATATCTTTTATATACATGTGATGTTTGCTCTTTTTGCTTGGTATAGCAACCCATATACATCAACGGAACAGAAGGAATATGCCAAAAATATGTATAATATAGAGTTGAAAAAAGAGCTATGGTACAGGAGGCCGCAGCCAGTCTAAAAATCTATCACAGAGTAGGATACACAGTATACAAAGTGCTCAAAGCACCGGTCATAACATCCCAGATCGGGATAAAGAATCCAACGCCCCCGTTTCCCAATGGCCAAAACAAACGAAAAGAAAAGCAACCTTGGAAATGCATGCAGTTAGATGAAAGGCCTTACAAAGACTCTTCCAGAATCTGGTAGGCCTCGAGTTGTTTGAGCAGGTACTGATACATAACCAGCATCGTCCCGCTTTGAATGCTAGTCCACACACCGCGTGGGCCCACGCCGCGGAACCACCCTCCAATACCCTCCGTCCGGTAGATAATCTTCAACCCTGTGAACACAGAGGAAGTATCAAGTCGGGGTGTACCGGGTGGTGGGATTGATGTGTTTGCACCTGATGTGGAGATTGGTCGCGAGTGTGCCCGGGGAGTGTGGGAATGTGGTGATGTTGGTGCATGTGGCCGCGGGCTTTCTTTCGGTACATGTTCGACACAATGTTTGGCACCCGAAGAACTGGATGAGGACGCTGGGGGATTTTGCTGGGTTTGGATGCGGGTCTTGACCACATCCATCGGACAAGTGATCACACCAGCCATACCGCCGGCGGTGGCAGCTGTCAATATCTCCAAGCCCAGTCCAATGTCCCGCTTTCCAACCCATTGTTTAGCCAAAGATTGCTCTTTCTCGTAGAATGCGAATTGGAGCGCCGAAAATGGGAGATCGCGGAAGATGGTGGCCTTGTAGCCGTGGAATAATGCCGAAATTCCTTCCTGGCGCACGATCTGGCGGAACCCATCTCGCATGTTGCGGTAGTTGTAGCCTGAGTTGAAGTGGGGGTTGTTGTGTCGGCCCTGCAACTGAAGTCGCGTTTTCAGTACCTCGGATGGCACGTAGACAATTGAGGCTGCCAAGTCCGCAAAGAAACCACCTGATAGATAGGCGATGCTGGGGTTGATGCCCGAGTCGATCATCAAGCGCTTGGTATATTCATAAACGCCGAAGAAGATCACAGTGCCGGGAAACGAGCCGAGTAAGGCTGGCGTTACTCCTCCATATAATCCGCGACATAATCCTTCTTGGCGGTAGATTGTTGCATAGGACTGGCCCATCGAAGTGTATTTGGGCGGAAAGGTCGGATCGCCTTGTTGTCGGGTCTTGACTGTGTCTAACGAGTGCATCAACATGTCGCCACATGTTCCTCCGATACCACCTGCCAACATTGCCTATAAGTTCAAATCAGGTCAGCCTTGCGCAATGGTATAATGCCGCTAGGGACAATCGTACATGTAAGTATGGTGGCCGAGGCTCCTCATCCTCCAACAGCGCGAGGCCGTCATTTCGAACAGTGTAAATTGAATCACTAATTTCACTCATGGAACTTGGTTGCGTCCATGTCGAGGTATGTGAGTCCCCCGCAGAGGGTGCTGTTGAGTCTGAGGTCGCTGTCGAGAACAGGCCGAACACCCGCGAGGTCAGGCTCATGGCAATATGCCAAACTGCGATCCCAAGCGGTACTGGTCAGAACCAGATTAGGGGGGTTAGGGGGGGGGTGCTAAGGGATTGAAGGAGAGGAGCACCCCTAATAATAAGAAAGAGTGACAGGAGATCGAGAAAGGGTTATTGTGAGATGATTGTTCCACCCAAAATTCTGATCGGCTTCATTTTGCCGCCAAGCCCGATCTACCGCCTCAGGGATCACGGGATGTCATTGGGGCATTTTAATATCTCCTGAGCGATATGATTGTGAGCCTATGGCATCAGATTTGGGCTTTCTTCCATACCAGGACATATGAGTAGTTCCTATGAAAGCCGCAAATAAGCTTCTTATTTGTTGATATCCAACATATGCATACCCGTCATTTTCGACAAATCACGCATACACCTTGTCCAATTTGTTTTGCCCTTAAAGCCGATTGCTTGTAAAATTACTAGATTTGGTGAATCTCTACAAATCCAATGAAGCAATGAAATGAATCCGAGACAAGGTATGTTGATAAGAGGAAAGCAAATACAGAAACTATGCATCGCAATACTCTAGAAATAATAAACACAAGTCGTTGCGTATAGCATCATCATGGCGGGAATCCTCCGCGTCCGCCTCTTTTCTACAGTTGGGACCTGGGCGTCCCATATTCCGACATCCTCCCATGTTATTCGCTCATTCGCTCATGGAACATGCCAAAGTGAAAGATAAAGCTGTAATATTATGTCTTGCACCAGCCACCTTCGTTCGACAATCTTGCAAACCGAAAGCCAACGTTCTTTCCTAACGTCAAGAACTTCAGCTTGCAAAGCAAGGTGTCTGGCACATCACCATTGTGACATTTACTGAGGCTTCTTAGCAGCGGTAGGGCCAGAGATGTAGCGGCCAATATCGGTGGCCTCGTAGCCCTGGCGCACAACACCCTTGAGGGTCTCCCAGCCCTGGCGAACCTGGGGAGGAGTGCTCTGGTGGGAGATGGTGGCATCGGCACGGGCAGTGAGCTGGCGAACAGCCTGCTGGACGAAGGAGCTTTGGGCGTAGCGGGCGCGGAAGAAAGACAGATAGACGACCAGGAGAACCCAGCTACCCTTGGAGAAAGTGATAGCGGACAGAACAAGGCGGAACAGCAGGGCGATCTCGAGGGTAGCGACAACACCCATGCTGGCATCGTAGTATTGCTTGATGAACCGTCCAATTGTCTCAGCAAGGGGCGACTGCTTCACAGCGGGCTTGGAGTTGGGCGAGGAGGGAGAGGCAGGGGCCGGAGCAGCGGGCTGCAGGGTGGGGATCAAGTACATGCGGCTGTAGGTTGCGACATGGAAGACCGAGTAGACGCT